AAAAAAAAAAAAAAAAAAAAAAAAAAAATTAAAATAAACAAAACAAAAACAAAAGAGCTGGTCTTAACCTAGTAAATCAATTTCAAAATCTGCCTATGGATCATGAGCTTTAGGATCATGACCCATCTCAGGGGTCATGGTCCATCTCAGATGTGTGGACCCAGAATTTCTGAGTGCTCCTGGTGACGTTGCTGCAGACTGGTCAGCAGACCGCCCCTTTGCAGGAGGGTGCCACACAGGAGGAGTGCGGGCTCCCGCTGGGATAATCCAGGATTCAAATCCCTGCCCTACCGCTTGTTGGCATGGGAACTTGGGCAAATCACTGAGCTCCTCGGAGCCCCAGCTTCCTTGTTTATGAAATGGGGATGAGGACAGTTCTTTCGCCAGAGGGTTGTTGTGAGGAATTAGGAGGAAAGTACCTTTGAAGCACTTAGTCCCTTGCACAAAGTAAATGCTCAGTGAACGTTTGCTGCGGCTGCAGTGGCTTCCTTTGCCGGGTAATTCCACTGGCTTGTCCAGTCTGACCCATCCTGTAAAGTGTCATAGGAGTTCACGTCTCCCATCTCTGGGAGGTGAGACCAAAGAACCTGAGAAAACTATTAGAGCAAGTCCTCTTCTCGCAGGGCTGCGCTCATCTTCTCTCATTATCATCATTTCCCAATGACAGTGTCATCAGTTCCCTCGCAAAGAACTCAACAGACCTCCAGCCAGATGCCAGCCAACTCTACGGCCCCCCTCTCCCAGGGGACAGTGCAGCCCACGAGCCCGGCGATGGCATCGAGAACGTCTCCCCTCCCAGAGACCACAAGCTCCAACCCCACAGCAGGGTCAACTACCCACCAAGTCCCCAAAACACCTTCTCTCACCTCGGCTCATGGGAATAACTGGGTAACTCCAGCAGGAGTGGGGCAGGTAGGAGAGCACAGACTCGGAGGAGGGGGTTTAAGACAAGTCTTTTCTTTCCTCCAGCGGGGCTGTGAGCAGCATTTACCCATTTCCTCCCCCCTCTCCCTGGTTGGCCTGGTCCTGGCTTAGGCTGCCCTTAGGCCATGCAGCCAGGACACACTTGGCTCTGGAATGGTTCCAGCCATGCCCCCAGCTTGCCATGAACTCCTTCCTATCTGGGTTACGCCTTAGTGGGAGGGAAGAGTCAAGGATTCCCTGACTTTTGGCCCAAACCTTAATCTCAGTGGCTTCTTCCAGATAAAGTGTGAGGCTCCTGAAACACCGAATGAGAAGCAGCTCATCCTGAACTTCACAGGAAACGTCCGCTGTGTGAGTAGCTCCCTGATCGGAGCCCCGCCCTCAGGTCTGCCCCGAGGGGCAAGTTCCACGAAGGGCTGAGGGAGGTAGAGGGGATGCAGTGTTCTAAGTACATTTTTAAGGTGCATTTGCTTCCCTGTCCTCATTTCTTCCTAGTGGGAAGCAGCCCTTTCCCATCTTACAGAGTGACAGACCCTGGTTTAGACGTAAGTCAGGACACACCCACAGGACTGACGCAGGGCCAGCATCCGCCCTCCCCTGCCACCTGCCCCCACTTTGCTTGGCTTTCACTGTGTGACTATTCCCAGTATGCTGAGTTGGGGGATGCTAATCCTAGTTCCTGTTTACCCCTAGCTCTGGGAGTGACTTTAGTGAGTTGATCTCTCTGGTTTTCAGATATCTCACTTGAAAATGAGAGGTGAGGTCAGGTGTGGTAGCTTACACCTGTAGTCCCAACACTTTGAGAAACTGAAGCAGGAAGCTTGCTTGAGGCCAGGAGTTCAAGAGCAGCCTAGGCAACATAGGGAGACTCCATTTCTCCAAA